CTATGTGTGGTTTGCTCTGTGCTATCTTCCTTCCTTCCTTCCTTCCTTCCTTCCTTCCTTCCTTCCTTCCTTCCTTCCTTCCTTCCTTCCTTCCCTTTTTCCTTCCTTTTGTCCCTACCTCCTACTTCTTCTTTTGGAGGGAACTGAGCTCTTTCTATCTGACATGAGTGTTTCGGGAGTATGACTAAGCACAGGAGGGGGCTGGTCTGGCTTTCCCTAGGGTCCCTTCCAACCCTGGGAAAATTAATCTGGCCCGCTGCCACTCTGTGTCCGCCTCTCCCTCTCAGGATAGCCAGGCTCTTTTGGAACAGAACAAAGCTGTACTATAGGGAGGGAGGCTGAGCCTGGGTGGGGTGGGTGCAGGCAGGATCTTGGTTGGCATATGAGTGTGCAGACAAAGAACATATGACATGCCAGGGAACGGCTTTGGAGAGCTGGTTCAGTTCATTGGGGCAGGGGGAGGGGTCTTTATGCCCCTGGGGAGGTGGGCAGGGGTCTCTGAGGCAAGGTTTGTGAGGTTTGTCTAGAATAGGGGTGTTGAAAAATATTTCATCTGCATACTCAGAGGCTAGGAGTTCCGAGGGGAAATTTTTTTATAAGGTCAATCAAGGAGTGAGGCCTGGTAACTGTCAGGATAGTAAATTCTTACTGGGGTTGAAGGTGGAGCAGCAGACTTTCTGGGGCCAGGTTGGGAGAAGGGAGGGAGCCAAGGCCTGCTGTGTCTCATATGAGGTATCAGAGTTGAAACTCTCCCTTCCCCCATGAATCCAGGGACGTTAAGGTCCCAATTTACAGCCGTAAAATTGAGAAATTTGAGACTGAGGAAGGCGACCAGCTGATGGTCACCATGTGGGTGGGGCCTGAACTGATGGAGCCTGTGACAGTGAAATCAGTCTCATGGAGGACTGTGGAAGTGTGAACAGGGTATGGCTAGCTGCTAATCATGAAGCTCAGCAATCAAAACCCCCTGCTGCCTCTGGAGCATGGCTCTCACCTTCAGAGCAGCCAAGAGTGGCGCTCATCTTCTTATTAGGCCATAAATATTCTAATTAGGAAACATGGGAAGATGAGTGGATTAGCAGGTGGGGCAGGGACCGGAGAGGCACTTGAGCCCTTCGTACCTCGTCCAAGTCTCTCCTGACATTTAATCATGCAGAAGCTCTCCTAATTAGACACACGACAATCATGCTTGGGACTTCCCCACTTCCTAAGGATAGCTCTGCCATGAGCAGGAAGTGGAGCCAGAAGGGACCTGTCCATGGTGCCCTCCCAAACACTTCCTGTTGCATGGTGGTGGGCAGGAGTTCCCTACCTGAGAGGACACTGAAAGAGCCTTGATGTGGTAGTTCAGATTTGGTTGTGTTCACATCCAGCTGGAGCAGATGGTGGGGAAATGGCCCCCTAAGACCTTCCACATAGCCCAAAGTTTCTGTGTAGACAAAACAGCTTCTTGGGCCAGGTAATTCGTTGGCTCCGCTGTGTCCTATGAGACCAGTTGCCACGGCTCCTTTCTCTAGTTCACAAATGCTGGGAGACATTTAACAAAATGTGCTATGCGGTGTAGCTATGTAAGGCTAATGTACAACAGAGACCTTTACTAGATGCCAGCAGGTAGCATCTTTAGGTAGCCAGCCTGTAGGGCAAGGACTTCAGAGCGGAGGCCAGAACCTGAGCCGGAAAAGTGCATCTGTGAGAGCTCTCTCCCTCCAGAGACTCTGTACTCACCAGTCACCCCCACCCCAGAGGCTGAGAACCTGAGCAGAGAACTTGAGAAAGAACATTCTGGAGGCTTTCCACCACCAGGGAGCTCCTTCCACTGGGAAGAAGAAATGAGGGGGGGACCAGGAAGGAGAAGAGGGACTAAGGAGGAGGGAGGAGGGAGAAGAGGGAGATGAAGAGAGGAGTGGGAAGAGTAGGAGGAAGGGGTTGAGTGTCACTGAGCCCCCCAGAAGCCATGACCCACCAACATACCAGGGTCTTGCCAAGGGCACAAAGCTTGCTTCCTCTCTGCCAGGTCTCACGCCCTCACAAGGTGGGGGTGGGTAAATGACATCTCAATGTCTCAGGCTAAATTGACAGATTCCTTGATGGAGCGGAGGCTTTGTCTCAGCCCAATGAGTTGTGGTGCTGGGCACACAAGGACAGTTTCTCCAAGGGAGGAGACTGGGGTTGGATGGAGATAATGGAAGAACTTTGTGTGGCTTGTAAGGTTGTCCTGGGTGCCAGTTCTACCTTTAGCTCACAAAAGCAGCCAGCCAGGCCCCAGTGACCAATGGAAAGAATGGCACAGATGCTTGCATTCTAGGCCTGGCTTGAGAGGACCAGTGTGGCCAGGGAGGGCCCAGGAGTCTAGGCACTTGTGGCCCCGGATGGTCTTGCTTTTACTGCAACTGGGGCCAGTCGCAGATGTAGCTTTCTGTGCCTGGACCCTGAAGAACAGTTTGGGAGGGCTAACACAGAAGGGTTTGTCTAGGGCCCTGCTGGGTCCCTAAGCCCTCTCATCATCTCCATTCCCAACGTACACACGGTTTACTGCTTTCTACTTAAACAACACACGGAGTCGGAACCTGAACCTGTCTGTCCCTTGCATGGGCAGCAGTGCAGGGCATACAGTAGATGCTCGGCACTCACAGTGGGGTGTGCTCCGTGGCACCCTTGCCCCTGTATTACAGGCTTTCTTTTGGAGAGGCTCAGACTTGAGTTTCTACTTCAGCCCACCTGGGCCCATACACGACTGCTCTGCAGGAGCTGGAGCAAGTGTTCAGACTCAGGCTGTTCTGAGTTAGCAGTGAGCAAAACGGTAGCGGCCTGGGAGCCGCTGCTGGGTCCTGATTCTCTGGGTGCATCAGAGGCTGTCACCAAGTGTGTAGTCTTTTCTGTGACAATGTCTGCTGTGTGCCCACAAGGCCCTCCTTCCCCAGCCCCTGTCTGTGTGCTAACCCTGTACCTCCTTAATGACTATTGTTATGGCCACCCTTTTTTCTTTCTCTGAAGGTAAGGAAGGCCAGATCCTCCTAGCTAAAGGCACCATGCTAGGTGCAATCATTTTAGTTTGGAATTTAACCTACTGTCTATGCCTGCCTCTCACACCTCAAGAACTTAACACAGTCATGCCTGAAGCCAGTTGCACCTTTTAGACAGAGGCCCCCTAGTTCATCCCTACTCAGTTGCTGTCTGTATGCTGTTTCCTCTCCATCAATTTGATTCTGTTTCTTGAGAATGGGAAATGGTAGAGAGAAGGGAATTTTGCTGGAATTGAACATTAGCAATTGAAGTCACTGAGCAAGATAGGAGAAAGCAGGTCACCATGGTGTCCCCAACCAGCCCCAGAAGAGGAAGAGGAAGAGGAGCAGGTGGAGAAGGAGATAGAGAAGGAAGAAAAGAAGGAAGAGGAGGAAGAGGAGAAGGCAGAGGAAAAGGAGGAGGAGGAAGAGAGGAAAGAAGAGAAAGAGGAGAAGGAGGAGGAAGAAGAGAAGAAGGAAGAGGAAGAAGAGGAGGAGGAAGAGGAGAAGAAGGAAGAGGAAGAAGAGGAGGAGGAAGAGTAGGAAAGCACTGAGTCTGAGGCCTGCTCTATCATGCCAGCCCATGCTAGGCTCAGGTTTTCATTGGAAAAGCATTGGGACAGGTTAGATGTCTAAGGCAAGCACAGGCACATACCCGACTCTCAACACCAGTGGCACACAGCACGACGATACATCCTAATGTCTTTCTGTCTTCATCAAGCGCGCGCGCGCACACACACACACACACACACACACACACACACACACACACACGTACAAGCCTCTGAACCTTAAAGCTCAAAGGCCGGCATTGCCAATCCTTCACAGATGAAGGCACTGTGGCTAGGCTCAGTGCCCTCTGACATGCTTGTGAAGGCCATGCCTCGGCTGAGTACAGCACATGCTATACAACTATAAAAGGTCACTGTCTATGCAGTGCCCTGCGTGCATTGCTTCATTGTCCATACTCCGCCCTGTGCACCGCCTCACAACTTAGATTGTCAGCAATAGTTTCCGTTTTTCAGAGAGCGCTGAGGTTTCGAAACAAGATGGAATTGAAGGCCTCGAAACAAGATGGAATTGAAGGCCTCGGGTGTTCCATAGCTCTCAGACCTGCCAGATTCCCCAGATGTGGGAACTCCTAGGGAGGAGACCTGCTGTTCGTTCCTGCAGCATGTCATCAGGAGCCTAGCTATGGCCAAGAAGCCAAGGCTCATGATGAGGTCCCTGAACCTGGCGGGTGAGGCTGCAGGGCTTCCAGAGCCACCAAGATAGTACCGCCAGGAAGCTGCAGCCACACTTCTACAAAGGAGCCCCAGAGTTGTGTGTGCTTCTGTGCTTGGCTTGGCTCTCCTTCCTGATCCCCAGTGAGTATTTTACATCTGCAGCTTGGCTGGCCTCTGTGATCACAGGGTACACAGGAAGCCAGCCTGTGGTGAGGTCAGGCCACACTGTCCTGATTGCTGGCTGGGGACTGTCAGTTAGGGGCTGGCTGTAGGTGTCCCAGGACCCCGAAAGCGGGCTAGACTGGGATAGTTGGTCAGCTCTACTATTTCTGATGGGCCTCAGCTGGTCTGCCTTCTCTTACATGTATCCCATCAGAGTAACCGTATCTGATGATCCAGGCAGGTCAGGTGTTCAGCAACACCCACCCCCTGTGCCTCTTATATCATGGAGGGCACGCAGCTAACTCACTCATGGTGGTCAAGCTTGCCAAGGCCTCAGAGAGGTGGGCTTTGAAGGACCCCAGATCTGGAGTACAGCGGTGACAGGACTCTGAGAACCAGAGCTCAGCCCTGCCTTTCTGATTCCTGCTGGACTGTACACACCACTGGGCCTGCTCTGGCCATCAGCTGGAGACTGACCCACAGCAGCTTGGAGATTGCTGCACAGGCTCCCTGCAGCCCAGGCAGGAGTCACCACTGACATCACCTGGATCACTGACTTCCTAACCGTACATTTGTACATTCCGATCACAGTGCCCACAGCCCGTCTCACCTCTCGGTCCAGGCCTGCTGCCACTGTCACGATGTCCCCTGTTTCACTGTTGATGGTGAACATGTTCTGGGACGGGCTCTGGGGCGTCTGGGTGACAATCCGATACCTCACCATGCCGTTGGCTGTAGTGCTGTCGTCAGCATCGTTGGCTGTGACAGTCATCACGTATGTACCTGGAACAGACAGCAGGTCATATGACTATGGTCCAACTGCAGACATCTGCCCCAGCACACACCCAGGCAGACATCCCCAGTCAATCCAGGGCTCTTGATGCAACAGCATGTGCCTACAGCATTCCTCCCACAGTGTGGCCTTGGTGTTGCCCCTTGTTTGAGGTAGCTCAAGGGCGAAGCTCCCTAGCCCACCCTACAGCACCTGAGGGAGTCCTAAGCTCATACCCCCTGACATTGTTCCGAACTTCTCCTCATTCTGCAGAGGGCAGGCCAGACATGGACCAGGAACTGCTTTTTCCCCTATGGGGGGAACTTGCAGCAAGACTAGGCCTGAGTGAGGACAACACCTGAGCCACAGGGCCTGAGGCCGGTGAACAGTAAGTACCATGTAAGGCTTCTCACTGAGGACCAACTGATCCTGCATGAAGTCTTGCTGGTGGGGTATAAATGGAGGGACGCCATAAAAATGATGTTATTGAAATATAAATCACACACATAAAGTTTGCCCTTGAAAAAAACATGCTCAAGGCTTTGATATCATAACAAAACTGAAAATAACTATCTAACTGCAGAAGGCAATCCTCACCCCAGAGAGAAACCCAACCTATCAGCAGCAACACTTTGTCCTTTCTCCCAGCCTCCCCAGCCTTCTATCTGCTTTCTGTTTCTTCAGAATCTCCTAATCTGGGTACTTTATGTTAATGAGGTTACATAATCTGTGGCCTTTTGTGTCTGGCTTCTCTTAATGAGCCTAGAGCTGTTGAGCCTCTGTCCTTTTTATGACTGAATACTACTCCATTGTATGAATGAATCACTCTACACTTATTAACTGGACTTGTGGCATGCAAGGCCTTATGCCCTGTGCTTAGCTTTATGAATGAGGTCTGCCAGAAAAATGTTATCCCCTTCTCCTCATTATTACTGAGCTAGGCAACACAGACAGGCAGAGATACTGAACTGCAAATTAGCCGTGTTTCCTATTGGAATAAGGGATAGTTATGAAAAGATACATGGATTAACGGAGAGAGAAGGTGGGCTCTGGTCCTCCCCAGCAGCATGCTCCTATGTATGATCTCAGCACTCAGGGGGCTGAGGCTGAAAGATTGCCACAAGTTTGAGATGGCCAGGTTCTAGGCCAGCCCATGTTGTACAGTAAGACCCTATCTCACAAAATAAAATGACCAAAAAAAAATGTGGCTTGCAGAGGAAGCAGAAAAGGTCTTTCTGAGAGAAAGAGGAGTTGGGATAGGAGAGGATGTAGACCCTGGCCAGAGAAGCAAAGGCCCTGTGGATGACTGCATGTAGGAAGAACAAAGTGGGACAGGCCATGTAGTGGGCTGGGTGAGAGTCTACAGTGAGCTCAATGTAAAAAATTAGCTGGAAAATGTATCCCCTAGTCATGAAGTTGATATCCAGGAGGGCGGAGGAAGGAATCCATTTAATAAATTCACAACCAACATGACATTGGTTACATAAACTAGGGCATGTGCCTGCGATGACTGAATAAAGTCTAGAGATGCTGGAGGAGAACACTTGAGACTCACCCAGGGTGTGGTAAAATGGAAAACAAGGTTCTATGCTCTGTTCACTGAGGCCAATGCTGGGCTTTGAAATAGATGTGTGACTTGAGGAGAGAGACTGACACATGACCACACAGCCTGTAACAGCCTTGGAGGGGATGTGGCAAGCCAGGCATCATGCCTTGCCCTAGGTAAGGTCTGGCGATTGTTTTCTAAGAGGTAGGGGGTGTCACTTGGGCATCAGAAGAAGAGGAGGAGGAGAAGAGGGAGGGAGGAAGAAGAAGGGAGAAAGAGAGGAGGAGGGAGGGAGAAGAGCAGGAAGGGAGAGAGAGAAGGGATAGAGGGAGGGAGAAGGGATAGAAAAAGGGAGGGAGAAGAGAAGGGAGAGAGGAAGAGGGAGGAGGGAAAGGGAGGAAGAGGGAGGGAGGAAAATGGAGGGAGAGGGAGGGAGAGGGAAGGAAGGATACAGGAAGAGAAGGAGGGAGGAAAGAAGCCAGCAGAGTGTGGAGTGGGGACTGAAGTTACTGAGGCAGATAGAGCCTAAACCACAGTTTGGAAATTGTGAGACCTGGCTGTTTTCAAGGCAGCCCTTAGGGTGAGGTGAGGATGCTCCAGGCTTGAACACTTTGAGCCAAAAGGAAGAAGCAGGTCCATGGGTTGCCATGGAAACGACCCAGGAACATTCCCAGCCCTAGAGGCAGAGCCAGGGCTCAGCAGTTTTAGTTTTTCTTTCTGAAAGGTGCAGAGAGAAGAGGGAGGAGGAGGAAGCCTGGGGAGGAGCCTTTATTGTGTTGTCCAGGGATGTTCTACACCCAGACAGTGGACTGCCTCTGAACTGTCCACTCTGCAGGCCCTTGAGGATGTCTGATGGTCTGAGGGACTCTTGGGCAGACTCTGCCATTTTTGAATCCTGTGTGCCTCAGCTGACTCTACATGCTCGAGAGGTGTTTGCCTTCTCAATTGTCCCCTCCTTTGCCCTTCTCACTCCTTACACCTGACTGCTCATGTACCCTGCAGTGAGCACTTTTACTCCTTTGCAGCCTGACGTGTGGAATTTGGGTGGGTGGATGTAACCCCGGGTTATGGCCACCCCGGGTACAGTGAGGAGCACAGGGTGGTTGTCCAGGAGCTCCAGACAAAGCTGTGGGAGGCAGAGGCAGGGGAGGGCCCAGCAATGAGGAAGAACATTAAATGGTAGATTGAGGCAGAGGAGAAGCCACCTGGCACAGAGCCCTGGACTGGTGCAGAGGACCCAGAAAACAGTGGATACTGCTTCTCAGAGAGAGGAAGGAAACTCCCAGGAAGCCCCAGGTATCAGGAGGGAGTAAAGGGACAAGGATAGAGGACACAGGGAGGCTGCTGGCAGTGGGTTCAAGTACTTGGGGAACAGTAGAGATGCAGGTGCTAGGGGAACGGGTGGCTACCAAGGCCTTCATCTCTGTTGGAGAAAGCATCTCTTCTGGGACTCAGGAGCTAATAGGACACGCTGAAGCGAGGGACTGAGGTGGGAGTGGTGTCCCACAAAGAAGGGGTTCACTTGCTCCCAGAATGGCCCAGCTCTACCTTCAGTTTTCAATATGCCTGTCACTCCCCTTGCCCACATGGGCACAGCCTTGGGATCTTACAGTCTGGGTCACAGAGGACAGGCTGTCAGCCCCATTATGGCCCAGAGACTGAAGGGTGAGGAGGTGGCAGGGGCAGCAAGGAGAGTTGCCGATGGAGACAATCCTGGAGCCGTGGTAGGTCTTCCTGGGTATATCCATCAGGCAGTAGGGCTAGCCTTGGGCCCAAGTCAGAAGGGAGAGGAGACATCCTTATTGGGGGCTGTAGAAGATGTGGACATGGAGGCCAGGAAGGGAAGTCTGCTCATCTGAGAAACATGGGCCAAGCAGAAAAGCCATGTCCAGTCAGCCAGAGGGTGCTGGAGGAGTCTTCAGTATAGAGGGTCGGGACACAGGCTGGGAAGTGGCTGTGAGGGCAGGGTACAGAGCTGTTCATCCTTTCATCACAGGGAGGGCTAGGGCTGCGTTGCCTCATGCCCAAACTGTGAGCTTAATTCATGTGCAGAGACCTGTATCTTCCCCAATAAAGGTGTGTGGAGAAACTGGCTCAATAGTCCTTCCACGGGGCTCTGAAAATAGGCTTTCACTTGTAAACATACTACACAGTAGCCCTAGTCATGGAGAACCACCACGAAAGGTCTACAATCTTGGAAGCAGTAGCTGGCTGCACCAACATCTCAAAAATGGCATCTCCCTGGGCACCCATAGGACATGATGGCCATCACAGGGCTTGCCTTTGGGATGTGGAATTGGGGTGAGACAGATGTTCCTGGAGACTTAGTCCAGAAAAGAACTTGCTGCTGGCCTGCCTGTGGCTGTCTCATCTGCAGGGTGACTGAGTCCACACAGTCTTCCGGATCTTGGGGCTAGAATATGAATGTCACCGTCACCCTTCACAGCATGGTGGTTTCTTGCTTCCTCAGTGGGGTGTGTTGAGTTCTGCACAACTGAGTTACAGAGCATTCAGTGGTCTGGATTTATTGGTCTCAGCAGGGAAGCGGGCAAATTTATTGCTATGCAGGACCCTTGAATCCCACAGACAGATGCATGGCCTTGGCGTGTGCTGGGAGGCCGTGTCCTGAGTTACGGCTGCTGCCAGTGGCCTGGGGAGGGCCATAGGTAGGACACATTTTTCTCCAGACTCTTGACTCTCACTTGTGTTTATTTGCCAAGGGCTGAGTACAGAGCCTGGGTCTGGTAGTGGAGGCTGTCTTACTCAGCTGGGGTGCCGGAGACATCCTGGAGAGAGTGCTGAGGGAGAACTCAGAGGGCTCTATATTCATCTGCAGACCCATGCGACCCTTGCTAAGGGCCCAGCTTTGTCCCCTCTGGCCTGGGGACAGGGCTAGTGGTCACCCAGCATTCTCCACAGGGCTCCGGGTCCCTGGCACTGGCCTCTGTCTTGTCCTGGAAATTTTTTTATTTGGACCAGAGAAGTACTTTGTCTAGAGACTCAAAAGCAACAAGGCCTGGGGTAGGAAATAGAGGGCTGGGGAGCCCAGGCTGACTAGCCATGCCCACAGACCTGGAGAGGCACACCAACCCTGCTGGGGACCTTCTCTGCCCTCCAGGCTTGGCTGGATGGAACTCGGAGTTCGCCATCTGTGTCCTGGGCACTTCTCAAACAGTGCCTTGCAATACTCTGATGGTGGATGGTGATCCAATAACCTTGGCTTTTGGTGTTACTTGAAAGGTTCTGGAGGAGGAAGTGCTGGATTTCCAGGAATTTCCCTGAGGGGATCTTGTCTCTCTGGATCACTGTGGCAAAGGGCTTACATAAGTGTTTCCACCACAGGCTGAGCCCATTGTGGGATGGGCATTGTGGGATGGGCAGGTCGCTCTCCTTCCTGAGGCCTCAGAAGCTTTCAATTGCTGGAGGTGGTCCCCAGGCCCAGGGGTTCCTGGCTCATGCCCTTCC